GCCACTCTGCCAACCCTGATTGACTGCTTTTTTTCTTCTTCTTCTTATCAGTCATATTTTGCTCATACTTTGTATACATGATAATCTTTGATTGGATGCCAGACACTGTGAAGATTACTTATACTTTGTTAGGTGATGGATATATTTGTATTTTTAGAAATAATCTTGAGTTTTGTTTTGGGATGCAGTTAAATAATTTGGAAACAGCTTGATCTTTTGGGGATTGCTTTTAAAATTTGTTAGCAGTGTTTAGTCCTGGGCTAAATATTCCCACTATTAAGGGTAGACCCTTTTGAGTGCTTAGCCCAGTGCCCTTGAATTATGAGGTTTTTCACTCTGGGTAATGGGAATAAACACTATTTCTGTTCCTTTGTGAGCGCCAAGTATTGTTTTCTCTAATCCTTTTGGGTATTTCTTCCCTTAGACTTGGGTATTTTTCTTGCATGGATTTGCATTTTACTACTATGCTGAACAGAATAGTTTCATTGCCCTAAAAATCCTCTGTGTTCCCTCTATTAATCTTCCCTAACTCCTGGAAATCACTGATATTTTTACTGTTTCCGTATTTGCTTCTTTTCAGAATGTCATAAACTTAGAATCATGTAGTATGTAGCCTTTTCAGACTGGCTTTTTACTTGATAGGCATTTAAGGTCTTTTTGTGGCTTGATAATGGATTTCTTTTTAGTGCTAAATAACATCCACTGACTGGATGTATCAGTTTGTTTATCCATTCATTTACTGAAAGACATCTTTGTTGCTTCCAAGTTTTGGCAATCAGGAAGAAAGCTGTTATAAACTTTTGTATGCAGGTTTATGTGTGGGCATAAATTTTCAACTCATTGAAATCCAGCACGATAGCTGGATTATTTGGTAAGACTATGTTAAGTTTTGTGAGAGACTGCCAAACTTGTCTTTCATAGTGGCTGAACCATTTTGCATTCTCACCAGCAATAAGTGAGACTTCCTCTCACTCCACGTCCTCACCAGCATTTGGTAGTGTCAGTGTTCAGGATTTTAGCCATTCTAATAGGTAGCAGTAGTATCTCATTTTAATTTGTATTTCCCTAAGGACATATGATGTAGACATCTTTTCGTATGCTTGTTTTGCCATCTTTCTGTCTTCTTTGGTGAGGTATCTGTTGAGGTCTTTTATCCATTTTTAAATTGGGTTGTTTTCTTACTGTGTTTTAAGAGTTTTTGGACACACTTTCTCAGATGTGTCTTTTGCAAATATTGTCTTCTTGACTTGTTTTCTCATTCTCTCAACATTGTCCTTGCAGAGCAGAGAGAACCCTTGTTTTTATCCCTGGAATTTGTTAATGT